TGGTGGTTTTCAAAATATGCTACTGTTACATAACTAAGACAATGGTGGTTTACAAAATATGCCACAGTTACGTAGCTAAGACAATGGTGATTTACAAAATATGCCACAGTTACATAACTAAGACAATGGTGGTTTACAAAATATGTCACAGTTACATATCTAAGACAATGGTGGTTTACACAATATGCTACATTTACATAACTAAGACAATGGTGGTTTTTACAAAATATGCCACTGTTACATAGCTAAGACAATGGTGGTTTACAAAATATGCCACAGTTACATAGCTAAGACAATGGTGATTTACAAAACATGCCACAGTTACATAATTAAGACAATGTATATTTATTAACACTTTAAAGTGTTTCTTATAATGATATATTTCAGGCTGGTGCATTTGGTGGCATTATAGAATCAGTACTCTTGTTTCCACTGGACACTTTGAAGACTCGTTTACAGAGTGAAGCTGGATTTTCGAAATCTGGGGGATTCAAAAGATGTTACTCTGGTATTTATCCATGTGTGATTGGATATACTCCGTACGGTAATGTGTTTGATATGCTCTCTCAGCAAACTGGTCTGCTCACATAATATGGTTTGACATCTTACAATTCATATATTCTTGGGACTAATTACTGTGTTTCTCGCAATTTTCAACATCTAGTTCTGAATACAGTAACATATTTATTAAATGTATCTGATTATATTATTTAAGTTGGTGTATTCTTCTGTGTTTACGAAAGTGTGAAGAACAAATTTAGTGGATTTGAGCATAATAAGTATCACCCTCTGATACACGCTGGAGCTGGATGTTTAGCTGAAGTAGTAAGTTGATCGGAGTAGTAAATACAAGTGTACATATAGAACAATGATTTCGTTTTGCGCTTATGTCATTTCATCATAAATTCATTCGTAATATACGTATATAACGAAGATGACTTTACTTATTTATAATTCCAGATAGCCTGTACAGTGGGTGTGCCAGCCGAGGTTGTAAAGCAAAGAACACAAGCAAATATACAATTGTCCGGTATGCAAATATTGAGGAAGACTTTACAGAAAGAGGTCTGTATGTATATGGAGTGTCGGTTTCAATTCAGACACTGGTATAATATATTGGACTAGTTTCAGGAAGTACCATTTAAAGTAATTTAGGAAGTTAGTTGATGTACATTACAATACTCGTTTATTAGGACATGGAAAAGGGAAACAATTTGTTTTTCTATTCTCACAACTATACATGCAACTAAATATTCGGCCTTGTGGTTATCGGCAAGAAATATCATTTAATGTTCGCGGCTTGTAAAAATATATAAAACACATCATTATATAATAATAACTCGTTATATCTGTCTATAGGGAGTAAGTGGTTTATATAGAGGATATACAAGTACAGTACTAAGAGAGGTAACTATCTTAAATCAATGGAAAAACAGTTTGCAGCTCTTTTTCTTGTTCGGCAATGTAATTTCACACACAGATTTTGTCTATATTAAATGCTAAATGTAACTAGCCACATCTCTAATTATCTTCGACAATATAGTACAATACATTGCTTCCACGAATTGAAAACCGATATGACTGTTCAACACACGTATTTACTATTGTCAATTTAACTCCATTTACATTTAAAATATTGAACCGTAGCGAATTAAAGAGTCATAATTTTAATAACTGTATTCTGCATTCTCGGTGCTTACAATCTACCGCCATATTATGCATGTCAAGTCAACACTGTGGTAATATACACCTTGGCAATCACTTATATATGTTAAGTTATAATTAACTCAAAGTCGGATTATATCGCACAATAAACATTAGTTATATTTGCGTGATGCGTTGATATACTCACATCGTACATTTATACATCGTTTTAGATTTAATAATAGCAACTTTCTAGTAGACTAACTAAAGTTCAATTGATTGAACTTTATATTGGTGATTGAACAAATACAAATAGAAATATCACCAATGCCTAGTTGATGG